TCTGTCATAGGGTGAATACACCCATTGTTCTATTGAAAAACTGCCTGCGCGTGCCAAATGGGCCTTGAAATGGCGCCAAACCACCGGGCGGAGCTAGCCGCTCGCTCCCAACGAGATCAAAGCGCGTGCATTCTGGGCACAGAAATGGCCGAGATGCCGCCACCCTAAAGCGCGTTTCACATGTAGCGGTTTTTGCCCTAGAGCGGCGCGATTTCTGCCGTCGCGGCGCTCTGGCCAACACCAGCGGTTGAGCGGCACGAGCGCCACGACGGCAGAAATCGCGCCGCTCTAGGGCCAAAATCACTGCATGTGAAACACGCTTAAGACACGCGTGGCGAATGTCTATGAAGGCTCCCTAGGTCCACGTGAATGGTGGCGAAGCGCGTGTCGGGGAGTGCAAACTTTGCCAGAGGCGTGATGGTGTGCCGGGACACCTTACTCTGCTGACAAGCAATACATGCTCTTGCCCACGCGCGGAATTCAGTGTTCATGGCAGGCCAGACAAATCGTTCCGCGATTAGATCTTGAGAAGCGCGGATGCCTGGGTGTGAGAAAGCATGAAGGTTGTTGAAGATCTGACGCTGAAGTGGTAAGAGCAGATAAGGCCGTTTCCGTCCGGTCGCCGGGTCGACGTCGCAAACGATGTTTGTGCCCAAGTTGGAGAAGTAAACGTCCCCAAGATGGAGAGAAGAGGTTGGGGTAGAGCGAAGATTTCGGAGCTCTTCGTCACTCTCCTGTAGATCCGGGAGTTGTCTAAAGTCACACCCGCCGTACTGAACTGCGGAGACGCGACTGAGGGTGTCGGCCGGGACGTTGTGGATGCCCTTGATATCCTGAATGTCGGTAGAAAATTCAGCTAGGACTGCCAAGAGTCGCGTCTCTCTCGTAAAGTATGTGGGCTAAGATGATCTGAAGGCATTGGTTAGTGGCTTGTGATCTGTGAATACCACAAATGATCGTCCTTCCAGGAAGAATCTGAAGTGTTGATGGTAAGGTAAGCCGCGAGGAGTTCACGGCCGAAGGCACTCTCTCGTTGATCGGTTCGTGTAAGTTTCTTGGAAAAGAAACCGAGCGGGAGCCACTCGTTGTTATGAGTTGTTGCAGCACCCCTCCTTCTGCGTATCCAGAAGCATTAACCATTACGCTCGTGGGGGCGTCGTGCTCTGGATGAACTAAGAGGGTAGCAGAAGCGAGACGCTCCTTCATGGTAGTAAAAGCGTTGGCTGCGGCGTCAGACTAGTCAGAAGTGTCTGTTGTACCCTTCGTAGTTTGAAGGAAAGCTTCTAGGGGAAGTAGTATTGGCGCGCAACCTGGAATGAACCGCCTGTAGTAATTCACCAGGCCCGGAAAACGGCGGAGCTGGCGGAGTGATTCTGGACGTGGGAAATCGGTGACCGCTTTTACCTTGTCGGGAAGAGGTCGGGTGCCATTGGAGTCTACCATGTGGCCCAGGAACTCCAACGACGGGACGCCGAATGCACATTTTTCTGCGTTGACGATGAGGCCATGTTTAGTGAAACGCTCAAATACTAGGCGCAGGTGGCGTAGATGTTCCTCCGGCGATGAGATGGCGACGAGAACGTCACCGGCGTAGAATGCGTCAGATGTAGTCGCTTTTCGTCTGTCTTTCTCTACATTGGTGACTCGGACGTGATATTCTTCTTTTCCCAGTGGCTATCGCCACAATTTCAACGGAGGTAGCAGTAACATCAGCTTTTTTTTTGTTGCTGGAAACCAGGTTTTAGTACGACGTCTTCCGAAATTGTTTATATTACCGTACAAGATTTAACGATCAGTAGTGCATTTACTATAATGATGTAAGGAAGAGAGGGGCGGAAGGGCTGATTGTGACAAAAATGGCAATCGTCGAGTAGAAAACGACTACCTGACCTTGATATTGTGTCTGCTCTTCTGTTCCAAGCATGAGCGGTGAAAGTGGGCGCTACGCGGAGCTCGCCGCTTGCCGCAAGGCAGGCCACAGCCGCAACGCGCGACTTTATATCATCCAGATCGGAGCAGTGCGGCACCGCGCGGAAGTGACGTAGGGACGCCCGCACTGGTTGCCATGGATACTGGTCCGCGCTTTTGCGCGACTCCCGTTTTCATCGCTCATGTGTCCCCAGCTTTAGACTAGGCGTGTTGACTGGCTTCTAAGTGCGATGCACAATGTAGGAATGTTGGCGGCAGGCACCATTTTGACTATGCCACTCTCCTTTGAGGAGCACACATAAAACGATGTGGGTAACGATTCTGCAGTAGTTTTAGTAACATGTTACTTTCTATGGTTAATTTATATTACATGGATGTTCACTGCGTTCCTGTAAGTCGCAGTGCGTACCTTAGAATGTTGGGTTTCTCAGAAATGCATAGTTGTGACATGGTAACGGCACTGAAACACAAGGAAGAGGGGAGAACGGGTACACCGAGCGGGTGTGGCTTTATCTTTGTATATTTACCTTACCAATTGTACTATCCTTAGACGATTAAAGAAAGACTAAACAAACGCTGGGACGTTTAAATGGTGAGTATCTTTCTTTACACTGTGCCTCCAATCAATAGAAATGGGGTATTGAGACCGCACAGATTATTTAATATTTAAAGAAACAGCAGAGTCACTTTTCGTTATGATGAACGCCTCGGTTTGTCTAGGGTCATAGGGTGTTTCAAGTCACCTGGCTCGATCTAAAATGGACCGAGAAATCGGCGCCTGCACGTAGCAATCTCAACTTTTCGTCAAAGGTGTAGTTCGCAGGTCGGTGTCACTTGCAAAATTACAAAGCGTTACTTCCTTTCTGTAAAAAATAGGGCCCAAAGACTTGCCAGAGTCAGCTGCGGGCGGCGACGCAGACGACCAAGTAGAGTGGCGGAGCGCGTTTGGCGCTTGGATTGAATTGATAAATGACACCACCTCTTTGTTCCGGCTTCTTTGAAAGATACCTTTGGCTTAAGAATAAATGCGGACAATGAGAGCAAAACTTGAAGTAACAAAATAAAAGCGTCTGCATGGCGTCTGCTTTTGCTCGGGTGCAGTGTCGGAGCAGCGACGGAGCATATAACCGGCTAGCGAAAGAAAGCAGTTGACACCTAGACGAAATCCGTCGGCAGCAAGAGCTCTGTCGGCGCCGTCGGTATGCAACTGCGTGTTCTTTTATTTTTGTAACTTCAAGTTTTGCTGTCATTGTCCTCATTTATTTTTCAGCCAAATTCATCTTTAAAAGCAAGGTGGAACAGGGAAGTAACGCCATCAATCAATGCAAGCGCCAAACGCGGCCCGTCACTGGACTTGGTCGTCTGGCAGAAAGGGACCTACGCTTTTTAATTTTGAAAAAAAAACAAAAATGTAAGACTTTGCGGTTCTCTGTAATGCCGAATTAGAGCGCATCTCTTGAGAACCAGGAGGGGAGGGTATGGACGGAGGAGTATGCCCCTCCTCCTCCTCCGTACCCTCCCCTCCTCCCCGCTGGCTCCCCTATTATTTAGCATGAACTTTTTGCAAAATTTTCCAACTAAATTTAGTGGGAAACGTTTTCCGCTAAATTTAGCGGGAAAATGTTGCCACTAAATTTAGCGGGAAAACGTTCCCGCTAAATTTAGCAGAAAATTTCTTCCGCTAAATTTGGCGGAAATATTTCTCGCAAAGTTTAACGTAAAACATGTCCGGTAATTTTAGCGGGAAATTTTTCAGCCATATTTAGCGAAAAATTCTCCCGCCAGATTTAACGGGAAAATTTTACCCTCGTTGACGTCACACGCGACGTCACGTGTTACGTCATTATGAGAAACGTGGCACTATCCAACGCGCGGTTACGCCGAAGGCGACGCCGACGGTGTTCAACCCGGTAACGGGCGCCTAAGAGCTGCGCTCTAAAACCGACTTGCGAAATACATCTTTGACGAAAAGTTTAGAATGATACTTGCAGGCGTCGATTTTTCGGTCCATTTTAGTGGGAGCCTTGTGACTTGGGACACCCTATAGTTCATAATGTGAGTCGTTCGTAATGATGAATGATGTAATGATACAGCGATAACTGTTATGAACCCTTCCTACCACTAGAAATAATCAAGGCAGCATAATATATTCAGCCAACTTTGGTCTCAGCATGGTTAAGGTGGCCCCATATGGTGCCAGCTTGACCAGTCTAGAGCCAGCATTTGATAATGCCGGCACTAAACTGCCTACATTACGGCAACATTTGCCGTTTCTGCCGGCGTTCAACCAATATGTCGGCATCCCGGCTACATGACGGCTATATTTGCTATTTCTGCCAGCTTCCAAACATCGCTGCATGCCGGCTACACGACGGCTACATAACGGCAACATTTGCCGTTGCATCATCGCTGCCGATCGCGGGCTGAAGACACTGACGCAGCACTCGTCGACCGGCGCCAAGCCACGTGGTTGATCGCATCCGTCATCCGGGCAGCTGGACTCGGTGCCTATAACAGCTGATCCCACGGCTCTCTTCGGCGCAGTCGGCGGCCCGTCACCATTGCACAACTTACTTTGCCTTCCTCGGCAGGTGAAAACCTGTATACTTAAGTCTTGCTGGCGTCTATTTCTGCCGGCGACTGCAACAAGTGTATTCGTGAATTTTGTTTCCACTTTTGAACGTGCGTGTCCATTTAAATTTTGTTCTAAACTAGTCATGGCTGACAACGAGTGTATTGCATGTTTGAAACTTGTACCGAGTGATGGAGTGTTTATGAATTTCTCTTCGTGTTCACATGCTTACAATCTTGACGCGTGCTCCGGCATATCAGAGAGAACTTTCAAGCCCATGGGAACCGCAAAGCGCGAGAAATGGAACTGCCGCACATGCAGAAATCGCGAAAGTAGCTTAAGCCTTGAAGCGGGAGTCGAGGTGGAATCGCCACCCGACGAAGGTTCTGTTTCCGCTCAACTAGAACAAATAAACAGAAAACGTGAGCTGCTGTACACCTTGAAGGCTAATGTAGATCGGCTCTGCGACCTTCCCGCTAAAATGGATGACTCTTTGAAGTCATCCGTAGAGGCAATGAAAGAAACGATAAAGGGCCTACAAGAATCGGTCAAGAAGTATGAATCAATGATGGAACTCGTCAGTGGAAACGATAAGGAGGTGAGGTTACTTCGATCCGAAGTCGGTGTACTTCAGGGCAGGGTGACAGATGAAACCGTCATGTTTGAACAGCTCCATGCGAACATAAATTCAACCGAACAATACAGTAGAAGATGCAATGTGGAGATTCACGGTATTCCGTTCACGAGAAACGAAGAGCTGAGGGCCGCCACGCAGGACCTCGCAGAAAACTGGATATTGGGAGCCATACCCCTGCCGATGTTCTAGCCTGCCACCGCCTGCGTTCGCGGCGCGAAGGGGAAGCCCCGATTCTGGTTCAATTCACTTCAGTCTCAGTAAAAGAACAATGGATGGTGCTCGCAAGAAGTTAGTCACTCTCCCTCGATCCGAAAACCAACATAAAATATACCTTAACGACAACCTAACACGGTCAAACAAAGAACTCTTCTGGGAAGCTCGAACCAAGGGCAGAGAAAAATCTTACCGATTTGTATGGGTTAAGGACGGCACTATTTTTGCTAAGAAGGACGAGAGCCCTTCACCGGTGCGTATCGCTAGCACTAGGGATCTAGAAATAATTAGTTAGAACTGGAGAGTACTGTAATAAATTCTGATCTTTCTTCGTTTCTCGACACCTTTCCTCCTAGTGCTGGCACGCTTACGGTCCTTCACGTGAATATCAGAAGCCTTAAAAAATAATGGGACAAATTCCAGCTCATTGTTGGTGCCCTTGAGACCGCTGTCGCTATTTTCGTTCAGACAGAAATAAACGTTCGGGACGTGGGAGTCGCGCAAGGCCAATTTTCTTTACCTGGTTTTGAGACTTTTTTTCTAACTCGTAACGATTCTAGAGGTGGGGCAATAGCAGTTTATCTTAAAAATACATGGTCAACAGTTACATTACAAATTCCATTCAACTATGCATTGTGTCTCTCTTTAAAACTCTGTAAAAACAACTTTCTATTATCGATTTTAGCGCTTTCTAGACCGCCCTCGGAAAGCGCACGTAATTTTTTAGATGAGTTAGACACGAACTTAAAAAATATAGTGCCTACGGATAAACTCTGTATTGTAGGTGAAATCAACATCGACCTTCTTAAACCTTCGAAATCTAGTGTTTGTGAATATTTAAATGTCCTTTCAAACTATGGTATTAAAGGTACAATTCAGGCACCTATTAGGGAGGAGTATTTTTCTGATAATTTAGTTATCTCCTGTTTAGATCATATCAATATTAGAGTCTTGGCTGCTCCTAATAGACCCACCGTTATTACACAAAAGTTGGCAGACTAATATTTTGTTGCCTGTCGTCTCAGCATTGATATCATTTCTGAACCAGTTGAACAATGACAAGTAACAGTCATTCATTCACGTCTCTTCGATAGACTAATTTCTGCCTATAACTGGGATATGCTAATTGAAAATTGCAACTATAAGGTAGCCTACTCATAGCTGATCGATAGTCTTTCAAACTTTAAAACCATGAGCACAAAAACATTAATATAAAAAAAAACGAAGAAAGAATCGGCCATGGGTAACTACTGACGTACAGTGCTAATCACACTTGTCTATAACGCGCGAGCGTGCGGCTTTCTCCGGGGAGCGCTAGACTGGTGGCATTCGCAGAAACTGAGCTAGTCACGTGGCGCAACATGGAACGGCCCGCTCGAGGGGTGTCCTGCCCACTCTATCAGCTTGATAAGCGATAAAAGTAAAGTTGTTTATGATATATTTTTTGTTTTGTTTTTAGGACGACATTGTTGATACGCCTTCATGCTTTAGTTTGTTTATTGTTCGAGCAACGATGTTTGCAAAAGCGTGCGAGCAGCCTTCCGCGTTCGCCGCCAGCTGATAGAGTGGGCAGGACGCCCCTCGAGCGGGCCATTCCATGTTGCACCACGTGACTATCTTAATTTCCGCGAATGCCACCAGTCTAGCGTTCTCCGGAGAAAGCCGCACGCTCGCGCGTTATAGACAAGTGTGATTACCACTGTACTTTCCGCCATCAAAGAGAAATATGTTTTATTGGCACGGTGGTCGTCGTTTTCCAGATAATAAAGAATTGAGATTGCAATATCAAACTCAAAGGAATCGTGTCAATGCCTTTATCCGTTCCAGAAAACGTCAGCATTTTCACGAAAGGTTTTATCGCTCTCGTTTTGACGCTTCTAAAGCTTAAGCTTTAGAAGCGTCAAAAGGATGCTCTGCTGGTTCTATTGATGACACAATAAAAAACATTTTAAATCTGCTATCACATCGATCGCTGACAGCTTTAATCGCTTCTTCGCTTCGGTGTCGGGCGTATCGCATGATGAAGCCATTTCACCCATTAATCTGCAACTTTCATGTTCAGAATCTGCATTTCTGCCGAATATGACTATGGAAGACCTTCGTGCGATATTCTTTAATTTCAAGCCGAATAAAGCACCCGGCTCGGACAGTATCCCCGTTGGCGATAATCGGCGGAATTTTGAAGTCTTCGGCAATGTTCTACTATATATACTGAACGAGTGTATGAGCTCCGGAGTTATCCCTGTTGGTTTCAAAAATGCGATCGTTAGGCCAATTTACAAGGGCGGTAGGCGCGATGACGTCAAAAGCTATAGGCCCATTTCTATTCTTCCGTGTCTGTCCTTGGCAATTGAAAAACACATATTAAATGCAATGACCGCGTTTCTGGAAAAGTTTAGTTTGTTATCCCCATCCCAATACGGCTTTATTATGGGGCGTGGCACCCAATCACTTCTTGAGGAACTCGTGGACACCTTAAACACAACTTTCGACAAAAATAAATTTGCCTGCGCACTCTTTCTAGACGTCTCCAAAGCATTCGACTCTATTAGTCATAAAATACTACTGGAAAAAATTTACGACTATGCTTTGAGGTGACCATTTTTTCATATTCTTAAATATGTTTTTTATCTTGTGGTTTGCAATAAGTTTCACTTAGTAATGCCCGTAGTATTAGCGTCCTTTTGAAACCCGGTGTACCTCAAGGATCTGTTTTGGCACCCTTATTGTTCAATCTATACGTGAATGACCTTGGTAAAAGTGTTGCTGGATGTGAAATCTACCAGTAAGCGGACGATACGTTATTACTTTCACCCCATATAGATCGATTAAAGGGGCGATGCACTGATATTTGTATTTTGCGCAAATTCCGCTTAGAACGAATTCCTGACGTTAATAATCTGTGAAATACCCGTTCGTTTTCACCACACGCAATCGAAGTCGCAGAAAAAAATAAACAAAAACGAGCAGAATTCACCCCCTCAACTCGCAGCCAGAACAAGCGGCCCCGTGATCTGGAGCCGATTATATGCCGCCAATGTTGATCATAGCCATGCGCTGGGGTTGGCAAGGCACAGGACAAGCGCCGAGTTCCATACATTGTTATGGTTCGGCTGTTGTCGTCATTGCAGCGATTGGACACAGGACACTAACCGAATGTTTCTCGAGCTATCGATTATCACGAGCCCAAATCGAGTGTCCACGCCATGCTCGGGTCCAATCTATGAGCCGTATTCAAATTTCGTCACTGGGCGGTACTGCTACCGCCCAGCTATGTCATCAGGTTTTTCGAAGGAGAGATTGAATGAAAACAGTCGGTTTTGTCCTCGAAATTACAGCGCAACAAAGGAGTTTCTTGGTCAGTGGCGTTGCGTGCGAGTATCCTTGAGTCCCACTAGTGCCAGTATGCTCGTGTAAAGTGAAAAACATTCCAATTGAATATCGTTGCACCGCCCCTTTAAATCCAATTTCTTTATTACAAGACAATGCCACTGGGGTATTAGACTGGTTGGAAGCAAACTGTATTAAAGTGAACATTCACTAGACGCAAGTAATGCGTTTCAACAATTCCTCAAAGCGGAAATGCCCAGTCATTCCTTTCGTGTTCCATTCGTCTAAGTGCGCGCAGTGCACATGTACTCCGCTTGAGTTCAATCAAACCGTTAAGTGCCTAGGAATTTATTTTGATAGTGATTTATCTTGGGACTCTCATCTCAGTTACATCGCCAAAAGATTGCGAAGTGTCTCATGCATGTTATATTCTACAAAGACGTTTCTACATTTTCCAATTCGAAAGATGATAGTCAACGCGCTGGCTTACGGTTTATTGCGCTATGGAATTATTGTTTATGCCAACTGTTCTATGCTCTGGCACAACAAGATTGATACGATTTTAAAAAAGTATTCTCAAGGGAGTGGCCTACACCTCTTGGTCGACGCCAAGTGATGCGTTGTTTGAGTCTTTGTGTCTACCTCGTTTTTCAGCCGTCTTTAAAAGATGTGTAATTAGGAAAAATTACTGGTTAAGTTCCTTTAAGATACCCCGTGTCCTAGAACGCAATCCGAGAGAAGGTGAACGTTTCGTCATTCCGCGCGTCTATACGAAGTATGGAAAACTTCATCGCTCATTTTATGTTCCTGATATGTTTAATAGCTTATTAGATTTGTTTTCAGATATTGATTCAAAGCGACAGTTAAAAAAAGCTTTAAGGACAATATGCTAAAATGATATTCCCTGTGGTATGAGTTTAAATCTTCTCGTCCCATTTTTCAGCTTCCTTCGTGTGCACTGTATATAGTGAACGAACAAATTCAGAATTTAGTTTTACTTTGTTTGATCTTGATAAAGTCATACAGTTCCTTGATGCTTTCAATTGCTTTTCATCAGTTGTTGATAGAACCTGCAACTTCGGCATCGGGTTACTTTTGTTGTGTCTTTTGTGGTTCTCTCTCATTTGGTGGTTATATGACAATATCCTGCATGTGTTTTATGACCCGGTGAAGTGCGGGTGATCCAAATTTTATTTTAGTTAGGTTTCCAATATAAGCGGAGTTTTATGTGGGTTTTAAAAAGAAAAAAAACAAGAAAAAAACGCAAAGTTAAGGTTTAGAAAGAGGAGGACGTATTAAACCACAGTTGGTAGTCCAGCGGTTTGCCTGTCTTTTTCTCTCTATATATTATAGACGCTTTCAGCGAGTCACTCACTCGAACTGCCACCAGTCGGCGCGCCCTTGGCGCGCTTTCCGGGCTGCCATAGCCTACCTTCAGTTTGTTGCCGGTGCTCCGCGTTGTGTGCTGCGCCGGCCACTACCGGAGCTTCCTTTTCGTGTTCTTTTACGTTGCGCGTTGAAATCTTGTATTTTCTTTAGGTCTTTTCGATATTTAGGACTTTCATTTAATCACTTGATATATATACATCGATATAGCTCTTGTATTTTCTTATTTATGGAATGGAATCGGACAGCGAATGGGTCGA